ATGGCGGCACACGCACACAAGTGTAACAGCAGCAGCAGCAGCATCATCGTCAGCCGCAGCCTCAGTCGCCGCAGCAGCTGCAAACTCGCGCGCAGCGGCAGCATCCGGAGCAGCGGCAGCTCTCAGCTCTCAGTTAGCTGCTTGTGATTTATGTACAAAATGGCAAAAGCAACAACAAAATAATACAAAATACACTCACACACATACACATGTGTATATGTATGTACATACAGCATCCGACACACTCGTCTATGAGCTGCGCTGCTCGCAGCAGCGACTTAATCCCAGTTCTGTCCTGTTTTTGGGGGTGGCATTGCCAAGCTCCCGGCTTGGCCTGCTGCTGCCTCTTTTTATTACATAGTTGCTTATATATAAGCAGCGTATATAAATATATATATATATATATATATGTGTGTGTGTGTGTGTGTGTGTGTGTGTATTTGAGTGCGCGCACACACACACTCACACACGCGAGCAGACTGTTGCTGCCGGCTTTCGATTTTGAGTTACTTTTGCTGGTAAAAGCTTTCATTGAGTGAGTTTTTTTTTTGTTTGTTATTTGCCCAGATAATTCAATGTTTGCTTGCTTTTAATTTCAATATAGATCAAAAATTTAAAACAGCTTAAAATTTAATTTGATGTAGTAAGCCTGAGAATCGGCTACACATGTATAAATATGACATTCTGAAGGACATGCTCTTAGCTAGTCTCAGGCATAATACTTGCCCTCTCTCTTCCTTTCTATGCATCATTTAACTGTTAATCTAGCCCAGCTGCGCTCTGACCGCATTGAAACTAGCTTTAAATTAGCTTGGCTATTTGTATGCCATATTTTCCTTAATTATTTAATCAAATGCAACTTTCTAAATAGCGCTATCTCGCTTGCACGCAGCAGCTAAAAGCTTTGCAATGGCCAGGCCTAACTTTTGCTCAAAGCTTTGCGCAAAAAGCGCTTTCGATTCTAACCATTATATATATATAGACGGGCTGAGAGAAAGTTGGCAAACAGCATCTCTGCTTTTACCTCCATCCAAGGTGAGAGTAAAACTCTGCCACAGAGATAACAAAAACAGGGATATGAAGAAGAAGCACAGCAGCAGCAGAACAGCAGCAGCGGCAGCGGCAGCAGCATAATAAAAATCCATTTTTATAGTCCCGGCAACATCGCAGCCGCTGCCGCTGCCGCTGCCACTGCCGCTGCCGCTTCTGCGGCTGGGACACACACACAAACCACCCCGCCGACAAAAAAAAAAAAGATTTACTGACATGGGCAAAGGGAGATCACGGGGTGTTACTACTCCTTGTTCCTGGGGTGGCGCTGCCAAAATGTATGAAATTTTACTGCCTGCCAACGTCAACAGAAACTTCAAACTTTTGCCGCTGCTGCCAGCTCTGCAGGCTGCGCGGCTGCGGCTGCGGCTGCTGCTGCGTGAGCGCGTGGAATGTTGCCATATGCCGCCATATGTACATCTATACATATTAAATGCTGCTCTCTGCTCTCCCATATATACCTCTCTCACTCTTTCTCTGTCACACACAAACTTTGCCTCTCACTAGCGCTCTGTGCTGGTGTGTGTGTGTGTGTGTGTGTGTGTGTGTGTGTGGCTGTGTATGTGTACGAGTTGTTTGCGTAGTACGCTGGGTACAGTCGCTGCTACCAGCAGCAGCAGCAACAGCAGCTCAGCAGCAGCAGCAGCAGCATCATCACCAGCCGCAGCAGCGACGCTCTCAGCGACTGCGACGTCGACAGCAGCAATAATGTCCGTCCCTTTATCCCAAGCGTCCAGACGTGCAGACTTTTGACTGTGTGGGGTGACCACTTTTTCGTGCTTGACGATGCTGCTGCCTGCTCCTGCCGCCTGCTGCCTGCTGCCTGCTCCTGCTGCTTGTTGTTTTTGTTGCTGCTGTTTCTTTGATTGCCATAAACAGGGTGCCACAGTTGACAGTCTGTCAAAGTGAGAGATTAGACTTCAAACTACTTAAAATAATTAACCAATGCTTGGCTTATTAAATCGTTATATTAAACGGTTTATTATCCCACTGAAAAACGGACTGATTGTTGGCTAAAAGGTGTTTTTTACAGTAGCCTAGCTGTTGTAAGAAAGTAAAGAGTGAGAGGGTGAAAAATGGGTGAAAAACAATTGTTCAAAAAAAATTATGGTGCATCCAAAAGGCTGTAAGCTAATCGTTTAATATCTTTATGAAAGCAAGAATTAAATTTTGGTACGAAGCACCCTGTACGTAAAGAAATAAAAGGCAAACTTTAGAGCTAGTCAAATATTCTGTAATATAAATAGCAAAGATAAAACAAACTATATATAGCACCCTGTAGTCAGATATTATTGTGCACTGAAAGTTTTGTTACGCTTGCCCTGTATATGCAAAATACAATGTTCAACAATGTCTAATAGGCAGCAATTTTGATTTAATAAAGCCAAAATCAATGTACGACCTGCATAACAATGTGCATACAAATTCGCTGCTGCCAAAACGAATGGTGAATTTACATTGAACAACACCCTGTATTGGGCCATATTTAAGTTTAACAAGTACATAAGCACTTGGCTTCAAGCACATAAACAGCGAAATGGAATTAAGTTTGCATAGCAAAGAACATAAACTGCTACAATTACAATAACAAGGGCCTTAGACGACACCAAATTGAAACTAGTGAAAAACAACAACAACAAAGATAACAACACACCAATAGACACACACACACACACACACATGCACAAGGCTGCAAAACTTATTTTTTGCCAATGGCAATGAAAATAAAACAGAGAAAAAAACTGTAGAGAAAATAAAAAGGAAAATAACAGAGTATGTAATTTATAATATCCTTTGTGCGCGACTGCTTTGTGCTTGTGAAAAGTGAAAATAAGTATGTGCATGTGTGTTCGTGTGTTCGTACATGTGTGTGTGTGTGTGTGTGTGTGTGTGTGTGTCTGTGAGTCGCTTTCTGTTGTTTGTAAATGTCAAATACTTAATGCCACACACACAAACACACTTAGAGCTGCTGTCGCGTTTGCCGTTTGTGCCGGGCAAATAGTTAAAACTAAAATAAATTTAGTTGTGCGCGCACACACACACACACACACGCCCGCAGCCAGCAAGAGATAGCGGCAGCCGCCATTTTGCTGCGCGCCCTCCGTGCCTTGCCCGCGCTGATAAGTATGCAATGGTTGTGTTTGGCTTGGCCCGTTTGGCTGCCGCACAAAATCTCATTATATTTGTTTTATTTTATTTGCTGCCTCATCGTCATTTTCTTCTTCAGCTGCTGCTTCTATTTTGCTGTTACTTCTATTTTCTTTTTGTTTGTTTATTTGTTTTTTTCCTTAATACCCTGCACTCATAGTATGTGGGTAAAATGGGAATATAACAAAGCTATACAATATCTCACAGCTAGAATGCCAAATTTTGATTTCCATTGTATGGATAACTCTTTTAATAACTTTAACATCAATTTTCAGACCAGTCGTATGAACTTTTGCGTTCATTAATCAATTAATAGGCTTATCATAGTGCGTGTACATGTTATTCTGTTCTTGGAAATCTACTTTGCTTCTGGAGTTATTTAATAAATATTGTACTTATTCCTGATTTTTGCTTGAAGATATCTTGAAATGCATTTTTTATGGCCTAAGTATTGTTTGCTTATGATCATATTTGTTACGGAAGATAGAGGCTGGGTACAGGGTATCTTCTGTTCAGATGCTCTCGGTGTGAGAACTTTATTGTGTTTTTTTTTTCCCTCATTCTGTTTTTATGTCTATTTCTATGGTTTGACCAAAGTACTTTTGTGTGTATACGCAACTGACTTTGGCCAGTTGACCGCCCAATGCCCCGCCCTCAGCTCCGCCCATGGCATTGTCATCTACTTACTTACTACTTACTGCGTGCTTAGTTATTGTTTTAGTGTGGCCTTTTGTTTCAAAATTATTAACAATGGACGTTGCCAAGTGAAAGGTGCTTGGACGTTGAAGCTGGTGGCGGATGGCATAGGGTGGGGCAGCCAGCAATGCTTTTAATAGCATTTAATGCACCTGTACACACGCACACACACGCACAGCAGAAGTTAAGGAGCTTTGTTCTTTGTTGGCATTGTCCTGCTGCAACGGCTGCAGCACTTAATAAAGACAGAGTGTGAGAGTGTGAGAGAGAGAGAGAGCTATAAAAGCAACAACAGCCTCAGCATCAATTTTATTATCATCATCATGGCTATGTTCATGATTAAAGCACATAAGCGGCTTTATAAATGCTTTTTTTCCCTGTGTCTGCTCATTAATTATTTATTTTATTGTCGCTTCAATTTCAGTCATCCCCCCTCCCAGCTTTTTGTAGCCCAGTTTTGTTGGTGCATTGAAGCTTAACAGCAAATAGCGCAATTATTAAATAATTTTCTAAATACATAATAATATGTCAAAAGCTTTTTAAATTATACGAATTGTTTTAAGGTATTCATTAATTTGATATATCGTCAAAATTGCATATGTATTCTCACCGTGTGTGTAATATACAGTCATATACAGATTTACCAGTCAGCTCAGCTACCTTATAAATATTTGTCAGAAAGATAAAATTGCAGCGTTGCCATCTCGCATTAATGTATACGATTTCTACAGCTTCGACTAACATACAAAGTGATGCCACCTTGCAAAATTGAGCACATATTATGCATTGTTTGTTTCGGTTGACATTTGAATATCGATGTAGGGTTGCCAGAATTTTTAAAAATGTATATTAATATATAAAGTGTACAGGAGAAGTGGATGAACAAAACCACACGCAACTTTAACTACCTGTTATTTGAAGCATGTTAATTGTAACATGAACTTTGACAAGAGCTTGCTAAAAATAAGCATTTAAATTTCTTGTGATTGCGTTTTCGCAAACACTTGAACTAATTTTTTGATGTTGACCCTAAACAAAATCTGGTTTGCATAATAGTTGACTGTGGAAATTGTCGTGCTCACGATTCAGAATTTATAAAGCAGGCATTTGAGATGTATATACATACACACGTTCTGTTCATTTAGATTTTTAGATTTATTAAGTAAAGAACGTTTTTAACAAGCATTTCCAGTAGGTATCCATCACGGATTCCGTGCTCAACTATTTAAAATTGATCGCCTCAATCAATGACCGGGCAACAGTAGAACAGTTTTTACAATTTATATTTCCACAAACCACAGACTGTGGAAGTGAACAAAATATCATCTGCAATGGCTACAAAACCGGTGCCATCTGGTCGCGTTAACCTATCGAATCTGGCCCTAGAGAATCGCATTGTCGGCGGCAAGTATCGGTTGCTCAAGTCGATTGGCAGCGGATCGTTTGGTGAAATCTATCAGGGCATTAACACGCAGGACGGCAAAGATGTGGCCGTCAAGATAGAGGCGATCGATGTCAAATATCCTTTGTTGCGCTACGAGGCGAAGGTCTACGAACAGATCGGGCCACATGCCGGACTGCCCGCCCTGCTGCACTACGGCAGCGAGAAGCGCTTTAATGCGTTGGTCATGGAGCTGCTGGGGCCCTCGCTGGAAGATCTGTTCAACATGTGCAAGCGCCACTTCTCGCTGAAGACGGTCCTCATGCTGAGCGATCAGCTGCTGATGCGACTGGAGTGCGTGCATCAGCATAGCTTCATACATCGTGATGTCAAGCCGGATAACTTTCTGATGGGTCTGGGTAGGAACTGCAATAAGCTGTATATGATTGATTTCGGTTTGGCCAAGCGCTATCAGGATCCGGAACGCTGCCAGCATATACCCTATCGCGAGGATCGCAATCTGACAGGCACCGCACGCTATGCCTCGATCAATGCCCAGCGCGGCATAGAGCAGTCCCGTCGCGATGATTTGGAGTCGCTCAGCTATTGCATCATGTACTTCAACATGGGCAAGCTGCCCTGGCAGGGCATTGTGGCGCCCAATAAGCAACAGAAATATGAGAAAATACTTGAGATGAAGCGGAGCATGTGCATCGATGAGATATGCAAATCGTGGCCCGTTGAATTTGCACTGTTCATGAAATATACACGCAATCTGCGCTTCCAGGATGAGCCCGACTATGTCTATCTACGCCAGCTATTTCGTTTACTTTTCCGCACGCTCAATCATCATTTTGATCATGTGTACGATTGGAGTCACTTGCATCAGCAGCAAAAGGATCGTGAACGTGATCGCGATCGTGATCGCGATCGCGACCGTGACCGTGAGCGGAATCGTCGCGATCAGCAGCTTGTCGAATTGGAGCTGAAGCGTCTTCGACGCAGCCGCAACGAACAGAATCGCAACCGTTTAGACATTGGCGATGGACTCAAGATCAACAAGCGTCATGATGATAAGCAGCTGAAGTGATCAGCGTCCGCTCGGATAATTGAAAAAAAATCTATTCCAAATTATTTAAGAGATCGATTTGCATAGTTTCATGTTAAATTGTTCAATGTTTAGAGTTCGCCACACTGCGTTTTATTTGCGTTTGCATTTGCCCTTCTTTTTTTTTAATATTCGGTGTGAATTTTTTGATACCCTTGCTGAGGTTCACGAAAAATGTAACGCATTGAAAGACGCTGCTCTGTTTCTACGGAGCTTTCAAAATTCTTAATCAGCCACAGTGCAGTCTGTATATATTTTTTTACCGAAATAGTTTTTACTCTTAGGCTGTCTAGTCCCCAAACAACTTTGCACGATATGACTTTTTGCTGCAGTTAGACACAAATATGTGAAAGTCGAACGAATCATAGACCCAAAGAGAGCTTTTGAATAAAAACTTTTGTTATAAATAAAAAAAAAAATTCCATCTACATAGAAATTGTCAAACATATAGTTCGCACAACTCGGAACAATAGGTAAAAAATTGAAGTTTTTTAATAAAACCAAATTTTCAGTAATATACTTTAATTAAATTTTTGCTTTTACCATTGCATCTAAATGATATTGAGATCCGATCTGGCCTGCAACAAAATGACGTACTTATGCAAAGTTTCTTGAGGACAGCTTGATCGACTTTGCATTTGATGCTAATCAATCTTCCACGTATTATACATTTCCCAATATTTTGCATAAGCGAACAAATATTTGTTTATAGTTAGCAGAGTTATTTTATTTTTATTTTCATTAGGCATTACGTTGCAACTAACTAAAAATAATTCGTTGGAAAACTTCATATGATGTGCTTTAGTTAAAAGTTGCTTTGTCTAGAACTTTGTGAACCTCATCAAAAAAGCAGCTGTCAAATTGTCATGTAAACGCGACTTGCTGCCAGCATCAGTGGAAAGCATTCCGAAGACTATACCAAGTTTTTGCAGTTGAGGTGGGGTTTATTTTCGCTAGTTATTTATTGAGTGGCAGGCACACACACACACACACACACACACACACACACACACACACACACACACACACACACACACACACACACACACACACACACACACAGACAAACGCAGAGAGCGAGCGCAGAGCAGGTGAAAAAACACTTGCAAGTTATGCGAAAACAAAATAAATTTTATAGCAGCCATGACCCCCAGCAAACCCAACTTCCACACAATACACTGGCAAATAGTTTAGCTGCAACCGCAGTGGATAGCACAGCAGAGCATAAAAAAGTAAAAGAAGAGAAATGTTTTTCGGTTTTTTTTTTCATGTTTTTTTTTTTTTGTTTTTCGCTCTGCCTGGGAAAAGTAAGTGGAAAAGTTTTTCTGACTTGACTGCGCTGCTTAGTTCTGTTAAAGACGGGGTCGCCGTGTCGCACCTGCTGCCAAATTAAATTGCAAAAAAAAAAAAAGAGAAAGAAAGAAAAACAAAAAGAAAAACATAAAAGAGAAATAAAGCTTAAGCATTGCAGAAAACTCAAACACAATAGAGTGAAACAGGCAACTATGGCTATGACAGACGGGCAATTTCAATAATTTATGATGCCCAGCTTTGAACAACGGGCGGAAATCATTTTGACATTTTCCAGCAATTTTTCTTGCACTTGGAGAAACTTGGTCCTGCCGCTGCAAACGCAAAACATAATTAAGTGTCGTCTTGAGCGACCGCCCGCCTGCCAGTTGAAGCGACAAACAGTTGATGAACAGCAATAGCAAAAACAAAAAGCAAAACTGTTTTAGTCGGTGGTTAACGGTTGGGAGATACCCTGTATATAGCTACATTCTTCTTACCTAAGACCCACACCAAAAGAAATGCATGCTTGATTAACTTCGGAGCGTATAGTCCGATCTATATGAAATTTTTGAAGCCTAATATTTTAAAATGACTATTTTTCAATTTTGATTGGGAATGGGTGGAGACATAAAAAAGTACAATTTTGACTTTGACTTTCGTTATGATATCGTTTTTTGACAATTTTTTGAGCCGATCTTACAATGTGGGCGTAGTCGAACACTGACATTTACCACACGACTTTCAACTTTAAACTACCTAACAACTAATATACCCTTGAACACTTTGTCAACAGAGCATTGAAAACAAAAACAATAACAAAATGTTGCAAGTGCCAAGGGACTGGCAACTGGCGAACAAGAAGCGGCCAAAAACTTGCAATGTGGCAAATAAAGCGGCATGACAAGTGACAAGTGGCAAGTAAACCGTAAGCCGTAATACAAAATGCCACATAATGCTGCAGCCTTTCGATGTCCTTCTGCTGCTGTTGCTGCTGCTGCCCTTCATACTGCCCGCCCTGTCAGCCTGTCAGACTATATGGCTGACGGACAGGCATCGGCACCTGAAGCCATGACAGTTGCCATGTCAACATATATGATAAATTGTACGAAGCATCGCGTCGGCTGCTTCAAATGATGTGTTATGGAAATTCGACGTACGTTGACTGCAAATGTCGTCTGTCACTTGGCCATAACACAGTCTGCATGTGTGTGTGGTCGAGTGTGTGTGAGTGTGTGTGTGTGATGTTGGTGTAAACATGCATGTAATGTAATTGCACATTTTGCTATATGCATGGCAAATAGCTGTTTATTTAATTTGCTAAGTATGGCGCGCGCCTTGGGTGTCCATTCACAGTCAGACTGATTTGATGCGACAATCTGTTCAAAAAAAAAAAAGGGCGTTAAAAGCTAAAAGGCTTGTGAAAAGCGCTTGGAAGAGCTCAACTTATTTACAGTTGCTACAAAAAAGCTGACTTTTGTATAAATATTTAATTAAAGCTGTAAAAACACACAGAAGTAATTAAAAAAAAATTGCTTATCGCTAAACTGCAAATTAACGCACATTTCAAATTGACATGCATGTTAAAGTAACTGCTAACTTTTAAAAAAGAGTCATATAAAATCGTGGGAGCCTTTAATATATAAACAAAAGCTTGTAAAGTGCAAAGCAAAATACAATCTAATTTGACATGCATGTTAAAGTGTTTAAGCTTACTTTAATGGCACACTTTGAATAGAAAATACACGAGCAGTACGTGGTATTATCTTTTAGACCAGCAAAAAGTCACTTTGCCATAAAATAAAAAAAAAAAAGAAACGCAGCCACTTACCATTGGTTGACTAATCCATTTGGTACGTGGGCGGAGCAGCAGGTAACCATTAGCAACAACACGAGGCAAGAACTAAGCCAGTAAACTACAAAAAGCAGAGCTTAAAAACTTTTGCAGCTCTTGCCAGCATTTATATTCGCCCACTAATGGCAACTGAAAACGTGAAAACGTGAAAACGCAATGAGATAATGTAAGCCAAAGCCCAACAAATGCAACAGCATAGAAACTCTTGGCTTCCACAGAAACTCTCAAAGTTGGCGCTCAAATAATTGCTTCCACTCGCACTAATAGACATACATATATAAACCTCAGATCTACTTAACATCCCACGCCCGATTCTAGCGAAACAAAATCCTTTGCGTTAACAACTTATAACCGAAAGTGGCATGTTATTGTTGCTGTTGCACTTGTTTTTGGCATCTTAGCAGCTTTGTTGCTGCCACAATTTGTGCATTTGCTTGGAGATGAGCGCGTATTACGCTTTCTTCTTGATGATAAACGTGGGTCGGGTCCAAAGTTGATTGAGCGAATTTCTGATTTGCGTTCGATTGGACTAAATCGTTTTTAAAACTTAACGCAAACGTGTTTCAGCGATTTTAGCAACCGCATCTATAAAAATTTAGTGGATCGGCTTTGCACTCATTGCTAAATATATTTGTGCAAATAGTTTTATAAAACATAATTTTAGCACTATCCATCTTGGATGGACGCAACGCAAGTCAAAGGCTACATGAACGAATGTTTATTATTGGCCTTAATACTTTTTAATTGATCTGAAACTTAGTTTTGAATATCTCATCAAATATTAACTTAAGGCATGGAGTTCAAGATAGTACGGGTAGATTTAAATTTTCCACGCACGTGAACTAGATCCGGCAAAGCCGACGAAAACTCGCTATAAGTTAATATGTATGCATATTTGTGTGTATGTATGTATGTATATATACATGCATATATGTATGTATGTATGTATGTGTGTCTGTATGTGTGTGTGTGTGTGTGTGTGCATGTGGTTGTGTGTGTGTGTGTTTGTGTGTGTGCATGTGTGTGTGTGTGTGCGTGTGTGTGTGTGTGCATGTGTGTGTGTGTGTGTGTGTGTGTGTGTGTGTGCATGTGTGTGTGTGTGCATGTGTGTGCGTGTGTGTGTGTGTGTGTGTGCATGTGTGTGTGTGTGTGTGTGTGTGTGTGTGTGTGTGTGTGTGTGCATGTGTGTGTGTGTGTGCGTGTGTGTGTGTGTGCATGTGTGTGTGTGTGTGTGTGTGTGTGTGTGCGTGTGTGTGTGTGTATGTTTGCATGTATGTGTGTATGCATGTGTGTATATGCGTTTGTATGTATGTATGTTTGTATGTATGTGTGTTTGTATGTATGTATGTATGTATGCATGTTTGAATGTATATATTTATGTATGTGTTATAATATGTATGTATGTATGGTCTAATGTATATATGTTTGTATGTATATATGTATGTTTGAAAGTATGTGTTTATATGTATGTTATTATGTATGTTTGTATGTCTGTATGTATGTTTGAAAGTATGTGTTTGTATGTATGTTATTATGTATGTTTCTATGTATGTACGTAAGTATATGCGTATGTACGTATGAATGTACGCATGTGGCTATGTATATATGTATGTATGTGTGTGTACATTTGTATGTGTTTACCACAATTTGGTTGAAAATTTAAAAAAAATGTATTCTTAGCTAATGCCCTACTACTCGATTCTCATAAATTCATGTAGGTCTCAAGAAAAGGCGACGGCTTCTATATAGGAGGAGGCTGCTTCAACTGTGGAGGAGGCGGCTTCAACTGTGGAGGAGCCGACTTCGACTGTGGAGGGAGACGGCAGCTTTATATAGAAGAAGACGGCGACTTCAACTATAGAGGACGCGGTTGCCTCAGTTATGAGAAGGAGACGGCTTCTACTATTGAGGAGGCTATGAGGAAACGGCAGCTTTAATATTGGAGACGATGGCATCAACATAGAGGAGACGGCCGCCTCAGCTATCAGGATGCTGCTTTAACAATTGGGCAGACGGTGGCTTGAGAAAAGGAGTAGTTTGGCGGCCTGAGTTAAAGGAGGCGTAACGGCTTTAATTTTGGAGGAGGTGGAATCAATTTCAAATGTGGCCATTGAGAAAACTGGTATGTATTATGAACATAACTATGCCTTATTGGATTACAATTTTATGAATGCATGTTAGTGTGTATGTATTTGAATGTATTTGATACGTGTAAATATGTAAGTAGAAATGTGTATATATATATATAAAACTATTTGTACTGACTGACTGACCGACTTATTGAATACGTGTTCCAGGCAAGGCCTGGATATACACGCTATTATCCTAAATATACATCAGTTAAAATTTCCCATAACTCGGTCAAATCTCATCCGATTTCCACAAGGCTTGGCTCTTCGTTCATGGTTTGGCCTCTAGATCAATTTGGCATCTAAGTCTGGCAACAATATCCTGATTTAAGATTTTGTCCGTCTCAAACTCAAGTTTCAAAGAACTTTGAAAGAGATTATGTTATCAGTGCCACGACGAGGCCTGAGTATTAAAAATGTCTCTTTACTACGTCATTCAAAAAATATTTAGCTAGTAAGCTGCTTTTTTAAACCCAAACTATATCTCTTCTTTTTTTTCTTCTTTCAGTGATGTGTTAATATAAAGGTTCGATTCCCGCCAACTGATTGATGACGATAAAAACAAGCATGCGTGTGAATTTACAGGTGAGTACGTTATAATGTAATTAGGTTAAATTAAATTATATTAAATAGACAGGGTAGAGAGATAGTGGTGGGAAATCACTGAGTCGGTGGAGGAATTTAGTTAGCCTGTCCGGCCTCATGCGTGCGTGTTGACCAAATTTAGTTCGTGTTCGTGCCTTGGCGTGCTGCATGAATCCGAGACGCGTTCATCTCTATTTTTGTACCATATGCGCTTTGAATTATTTATTATAGCAGAAACAAAAGAAACCGCAGCAACAGGAGCAGCAGCGGGAGCAGCTTTTCATTTTGGCAAGAAAGTAATTATGTGTAACGTGGCGTATGCGCAATGTTCGAAAGCAAGAAAATTAAATAGTTTCGGCAGCGGCAGCGGCAGGGGCCAAACCTTTTGTGGTTAACAAGCGAGAGCTGATAATGAATCGATTTGCTAGAACAGCATGCAGCATGCAGCAGGTGAGCCAACTTAAGCAGATTTCACTGTCTGTTGGCCAGCAAGCGATTCTAACAAACGACCGCAAACAAACATCAATGCCAAAATAAATTCTCAAGTTGCTGCCCCTGCTCCTGCTGCTGTTGCTTCTGTTGTTGCTTAAGCTTAGGATAACAGCATGCCTGTCTTGCTGCAGGATAAACACGAATCGAATGTCATTAAAATAAAGACAAGACAAGCTAAAGACAAGAGCGGTCGGACGGGCGGGCGCTGCGGCTCAAGTAGTCATTGGGAGCTGGCGCACAGTCGGGCAGCATCATGTTGAGAGCTCATTAAAACGAATACGAATTTAATGGTACTTAAAGCGGAAATTGCCTGGGAAGTTTCCGCCATGCTAAGCACACAACAGCAACAACAACAACAATAGAAGAGACAACAACAGCAGCAACAAATGACGCAGAGCCATGTGAAACCAAACCAAGTCGAAGCAAGTCAAGCCAAGATCGAAGCAAAGCTTTTACGAGCTGAAAACTATTAGTGCCACCAACAACAGTGCGCGTTGCACATACACATACACACACTCACACACACACACACACATATTCGAGTATGGCAACAGCTCATCTATGTGGGCGGTCGCATGTGTGTGAGTGTGTGTGTGTGGGCGTGTTCACTATTTTTTCTTGCCTCACGTTATTGTGTGCCAAATGAAGCCATCGCCAATGCACACCGGCACAAAGCTGATGCATGCTGTGCTAAACAAAAATAGAATAGAAAAGAAAAGAAAAGAAAAAACAGAAAGAAAACCCAAGCAGTTGATAATACCCGGCTGCGCAATACTCTGTACACAATGCCTTGGAAGCGCAGCAAATGCCTCTTGAAAGCAAATGATAAGCCATCGACTTTCAAATTATACAAGATAGCGGCTGTGTCGAATAACTCTGTGAGTGACTGCTAAACTGTAAATATGGGGCTTAAAACTGTAGATTTCATAGATTTTGTACAAAAGGCAATCTTTGTTACATGCGAATCTTTTGCTCTGACCTCGAAACTGTGCTCCTAAAACTGAGTGACTTTCAATCTGTCAATTGTGAGGCATTGCTTGTAAAATCTTTATCAACATCAGCAATATCAACATAACAGTTTTAGGCGCACAGTTTAAATGTCATTGTGATGCTAAGATAATAATTTGACATATAGACTATTTGCCTTGCAGTTTAGTAGCTCTAAGTCAAAGATATCCAAGTCAAAATATCCTTTTTTTAATTTTTATTTTTTTTTTTCAATTGCGGCGCATTTGAAAGAAGATTGAAACTTTTTTTGGGGATCGAAAGCGACTATTGCTACATATATATTTGGCTTAATCTTTGAAGAAGATTCTCAGTAGTATATTTGCACAGATTGGTGACATCTTATACGCCCTTAAAAAAGACTTCCATAGACGTAAATACAGTCAGACATCTAGGCGAGCATTGCACAAAACCGATGTTCTCTTTTTACTGAAGGAACAGCGCATAAAAACTGGATAAGAACCAAAAAGCGAACAAAACTAGTTTGAGAAAAATACAAGCGAAAACGAATACTCAATACCCTTAACATTTAGGAGCCAAACTGTGCTAATTAGGCACTGCAACTATTTTGCATACGGAAAATTTTAAATTATTTTGTTTATTTATTTGAATGTTTTCAAAAGTGCGCAATTATTTAACAAAACATAACAAATTGAAGTCTTAATCTCATATTCCACATTCATTTTCAATTCGAAAGACTCAATATTGAAATTATTGTTGCAAATGGCATTCAATATGAGACATATCCAATGCTAAGCCAGGTAACCAGGTGAAAAGCACTGAAAAAGAAAAACAACAAATAATAATAACAAGAGGAGCGGCAACTGTAACTTTGCTGACTGTGCGAAAATGTGCGACGCCATTTTGAGAGAACGCACAAAAGTATGCTATAATTGAACGTTTGTTTGTTTCGCAGGTGTTTCTGCCTGTGTGTGTGTGTGTGTGTTGCTTTTAGATGAATGTGCGTGTGATGAATGTGCACGTGTGTGCGTGGGAGCGTGTGTTTGTGCAAAATGCTGGAAAATTTGCTGCACATATGGATGTCAGCAGCGCCCATAATGGCAATACCATTGTATGTACTTTGAGTTTTCAATTTCAGCTTTTTGCCACAAACAGAGACAGAGACAGAGCCAGAGCGAGACGGAATGCGAGTAGGTTGGGCGCGTGGAGGGTGCAAGAGTGCCCGGGAGAGAGTTAGCAAACAGCGGGCTAGGGATTATGCTGCGTATTGAGTTGGGCACACATCCATTTTGGTTTGCGTTCGCCTTTCATGCGCTTCACGCGAATAACAAAAAGCAAACCAAAAAATATAAAGAAAAAAAAAACCGAAATTCCAAAAAGTCAATTCAAATGGTTTTTGCTTGTTTCAGCTTATGGATTTTCGCCAAACAGCCGGTGGGGTAAATAAAAGCGACCCAAAACAGATACGACTAAACCAAATTTCATCTGTCGGCCAAAAACAAAAAAGTAAAAGCATCAGCGAGATGAAAATTGATTGCGAATTTCGAAACAGATTTCAAAGTCCGAAAAGTATGACAATTCCAGCGATTATAGAAAATGAAATAAATTTCTGGAAGTTTGACAAATTCATTGGATTTCACAAATCCATCAACGAACAAGCCAGAATGTATGAAATTTAGCTGGCATTATTGCGTATTTATCGCTAATTTATCGTCTAACAACGAGGCATGGACAATTTTGTGACCTCTCTAGGAAGCTAAGCAGCTTTAAAAAGTTAAAGATTATTGCCAAATCTATCGCTTATCTATCGCTTTTTTATCTTCTATATGTTTCACCTAACCAACATTTCCATATGGCCCGTCCAACTTCTAGATAGAGTACTGCAACTAAACAAAGTGAACAAAAAGAACGAAGTATTTTTGAATGGCAAACACTGTCAATGCTGGAAAGACAATCCAACTGAATGAAATGATTCGTTCACATAACAACCGACAGGCTCACACACATGCACACCCACTCAGACAATCAGACTCATACGCATACATGCACACGCATACACACACTCAAAGCGGACATTGAAGTGCACTTAGTTGCCAAAAAGTTAATAAAAATAAGTGCCTCTTGGCCGTTGCCAAGTGCCAGAGTCCGGCAAGCATATGAAGTGGCCAGAACTCCGATTCGGGCATCAGCTCCGACCGACCCGTCAGACCCGCCGAACCGGCGCCCAGCAAAGCTTCTAACCGTACCGTACCGTATCGTACGCAGGCCGTGCACCGACGTTAAGTAATTTGGATTTGCCGGCGACTGTTTTGTCCCGTACTCGACCAATGCACAGCTGCAAAATGTTACCGTTGTTAACTTGAAGGACTTGGCCAAGCCAAGGCAGGCCCCCAGACCCATCTGGGACATAAGAAAAATACCACAGACTTGAAAGTATAATAACAATGGCCAGGCCAAGGCAGCGAACCATAAATACTGGTAATAATTGCTGTTGCTGAAATCGGCATATTAGTACAACTTTCCGAGTGTTGAGCCCCAAAAATCTGAACGAAATATGCAATTAAATGTTCGAAATTGTGAGCAAAAATAACTGAAATAGTTTTCTAAGCCATTTCAACCCAATTGCCTGTTGGATGACTTTGAGTGTGCGCCCAAAGATTTCAATTAAAATTTAAATTGATAAAGACTTGCAAGTCTTTGAAGCGTATGTCAAATTTGACAAGCATCTTAACATGACGATATATTCACAGTGTTGCCACCCTGCAATTTAAAGCACATATGGCAACGCTGACATATTTGAGTTTAAAATGATTTGCTTAGACAAGATTTGCTTAAATAAATATTTATGTAAGTAATAATATATATTTAATTTGAAATATGTCACGATGCTCTCCTTTACGGCGTTGTCAGCATATCGCTGTGGCCTTGTAGTCTTATCAGCAAGGCGTTGCCACTACTGCCCACAATTTTATAGATTCATTGAAAGCAAAAAGAATACGCTTGACAATTAGACAGCCAAATGATTTTCACAAAGCTGTTCTAGGAAAATATTTCTGTCGGCAAGAGTTGAAATTCTCTGGAATTGCACTTGCGCCTGCTCAGGCAACATTAAACGTAACAATTTATGTGTGCAGCTCTGGACATGTACGAAATTAAATGGAATAAAGCGAGATAGAGTTGGGAAGGAGCGCTGGGTTAACTCAAAAATTGCTGTGACCCAGCAATTTAATTAAGCTACGCAAAAATGTGCCAACTACTTAAAGAAGTGGTGCGCCCAAAGCCGCTCAGACTAAGATCCCGTAATCGCAATTCTAATTAAGTGCAAATTTCCAGGACGAAACCCGGCTGTAAACTGGTTGCCCGCTCCGCAAAATTGTGTGTTGTCGCCTAGTTTATTTCATCTTGATTTCATTTCTCTTTTTTTTGCCTCTACTGCGCCAGCTGAATTTAATTAAATTTCCACACTTCAAAGCGTGCAATGTGCAAAACCCAGTCAAAACGAATGAAGTCAAAAGAACGACCAAGGAAAAACAAAAAAAAAAAAAAACATGAAAATGTTTATAAGGGCAAAAGGAAATCTTAATTTTATTTTGCTTTCTCTTTTTTATACACATTTTTTTTTTTCATTTCTCTGTTGGCTTCGTTATTTTCTTCAACTTTGTTGCCATCAGGTTGCAAATTGTTGGCAGCTGCTTTTGCTTTGCTTAGCTGGTTTCTTTCTCGGGCTTTGCTTTCGCTTCCCTTACTAATTAATTTCGATTCATTGAGCACTTTACAAGAAATTACACACCCACTCGACACCCAACCTGCTAAGTGTATTTTTCTTGTCATTTCTATTCCCATTTCTAGTGGCCCCTGCCCCAGTGCCAAGCCGAATCCGATTCCGATTCCCATTACGTTTTATACTATTAGTTGGAAAGTTTATTTTCTTCGACTTTTTCTTTTTTTTTTTTTTTTTTTTTGTTGTCATTTTTTATTTTCTTCTCGTTGCTTTCACTTCCAGTCAGCATCAAAGGCTCTCTAACTGAATGCCCCCAACAAATGAGCGTTTCAAATTGTTGCCAACAAATTTGCTGCCATTGAGGAAATGGCAAGTGCGACAGAGCGAGACAGCTGGATGGCTCCAACAAAGGGGCACTAATACCAAAATAGCTGGCATACAAATGCTCGTGCAACAACTTTTAGCAGTCAGTGTATACAACACTATCTACCAGATGTGTGTGTGTGTGCCATTGTATCATTTGCGCTTCGTTACTTTCCTCTCTTATCGATGTGTCAATTAGATGGTCTTACTGTAATCCATGTTCTGGCTGTTAGCATTGAGTAAAAGTGCATATCGAAAGACTTGAAACAGCTTTAAAAATCCCATGTATTCCCTAGTTAATGTCACCAACTTATTGCAAGCAGACAAGCGGGCTTCCACATTGAACAAGCTATTCAATTAATTTATCATACTTATAGATACTCTATAAATGTGCTTCATATCAATTTAAAACAATTATATTTATCATTTATTTCTCCATGGTTACCAACTAATTACGTCGGAGCTGACTCAGAGATACCCTGTAACTAACTCTCGATTGAGCCAATATCAGAATCAAAATAATATCATTTAACAGAAATTTGTTCTAATTTATCTTTTGAATAGGACCAAACTTGATGTATATGCAAAACCCAGCTTAAAATCGATATCGATATCGAGAAGTATAATACAATATATATATATATATATATATATAATATGTAGGGCATACGATACATTCCTCAAAATTCCAAAATCTAGATTCAAAAGAAAGTTTGTTAGAGGAGAGTTTTATAAACTTAAAGCATATGACAAAAAAATAAAGTAAAAATTCTGATTTGGACATACTTTGCTTCGCTAAAAATACATGGCAGGCAGATAAGCATACATACAAACATATGTATTCAATTTCAACAAGAAGGTATCTTTTGACTTGCCATACATATTTACTCAAAACTATAAACCTCACCGAAGCAGGGTATACAAAATTTGTAGCTAACTATACAAAACTTGATGTGCGCGTGGGCCAATCATTTTAAGAGCGAGTTTTTGAAGTGCTCAAACAACAACAAGAACTAATTGAAAACTTTCCGTAACTCAGCAACAGTTTTCACATACGCATTTGCCTTAACGGACAACTCATGCAGTATTTTCTAGCTTTAAAAAGGTTTGAATATTTTTAATTTACAAGCAAATATAAACAACATGCCAAAATTTAAAGTTTAACTTTTGAAAAGAGACTTATTTACTTTTATTTGCATGACATTTGTTATTTTGTGTCAACTAAAACAAAAATATTTTACAAAAACTGCAAAACCTATTTTCCTTTACTGGAACAAATTATTTAAAAACATATTCGCCAGCGGAAATTAGTTTTGTAGCAACTAATGCAAGTTTTAAAAGCATAAAGTAATAAGTTAATTTAATTAATTTAACTAGCAATACGTCAAATCCATGCACTTGTAAGAATGTATAATAACTTATAAGAACTTTAAAAGACCATGTCGCGGATCGAACTTGAGTTGCCCGAGATTTGACTCCTTAAATTTATTAATTTAAAATAAAAAACTAATTGGGGATTCTCATGTTTTTCAGGCACATCGGACGTGTCCTCGAGGAGCACAAATAAATTATGGCTGAAACAAAAGACTTGGTAATTTAAATTAAATAATTTAAATAAATTATTTATTCGGAATCTTTTATATTTAAGGCACATGTGACACACCTCGGAGGAAGATATTTTATGTATCATATAAAACTATGACGATACCATTAACAGGATCAATAGGATCACCAGGATGCACTAATTTAAATTAAACATAATTAAATGGGTTAATAACTAAGCATTAGCTTAAGCTTTTGCTTAATAGCGACAACGAAAGTATGCATTTCTGTTCCCCTGTTATTTCAGCTGCAATTCTTATTCAAATCTGATCCAGCTAGCGGCGAGACCAACAACAACCGTTAATATTTGAATATTGTGTTCCAAATAGCACAAAACCAAAAAATTCATTTATTTTATTATATAATATGTTTATTTCCCATAATATACCTGTATAATTGTTATTTATATCATGTACTTTATCAATTTTATTATAAAATTACAAGTAGAACTAATAATGCTTATAAATTTCGTATTTAAGACGATTACCATCTAATCGATCCGTACGAGTAGAAAGAGGTACCTCACTCCGAAATCGGACTGAATTAGCCGAGTTATTTCCATTTTAATTTTTTATTCAAAGTGCAGCATGAGTATATTGTGAATGGTTTATTTTTATGATCAGACCAAAAGTATGCTGTAAAAAAACTACTCTAATAGGTTTAAGCGTATTATGTGGACATCACAAAAGTATGCAATGCTTTCCTTAGTTCTGTGTCCATAACCACACGCATGTTTTTGGAAAACTTTGAATGGTGATATCTCGGCCAAATGAAGCCCGATAGAGGGCAGATTGGGAGGGGTTACCCGCGGAGGTCAATAGAATCGAATGCCATCAACGTTTTTCGATTTCGGAAAAAAGTCATTTTTCGAAAAAAACGTGATGGTTACACTGTATTTTCGGTCAATTTGGGTCATCTCTTAGAATGTGGATTTTTTGATGGCAATCGATAGTCGGGATCCGTACGAGTAGAAAGAGGTATATCACTTCGAAATCGGACTGAATTTAGCCGAGTTATTTCCTTTTTAATTTTTTATTAAAATTGCAGCATGAGCATATTGTGAATGGTTTATTTTTATGATCAGACCAAGAATATGCTGTAGAAAAGCTACTCTAATAGGTTCAAACGTATTATGTGGACATCACAAAAGTATGCAATGCTTTCCTTTACTTCTGTGTCCATAACCACACGCATGTTTTTGGAAAACTTTAAATGGTGATATCTCGGCCAAATGAAGCCCGATAGAGGGCAGATTGGGAGGGGTTACCCGCGGAGGTCAGTAGAATCGAATGCCATCAACGTTTTTCGATTTCGGAAAAAAGTCATTTTTCGAAAAAAACGTGATGGTTACACTGTATTTTCGGTCAATTTGGGTCATCTCTTAGAATGTGGATTTTTTGATGGCAATCGATAGTCGGGATCCGTACGAGTAGAAAGAGGTATATCACTTCGAAATCGGACTGAATTTAGCCGAGTTATTTCCTTTTTAATTTTTTATTAAAATTGCAGCATGAGCATATTGTGAATGGTTTATTTTTATGATCATTCCAAGAATATGCTGTAGAAAAGCTACTCTAATAGGTTCAAACGTATTATGTGGACATCACAAAAGTATGCAATGCTTTCCTTTACTTCTGTGTCCATAACCACACGCATGTTTTTGGAAAACTTTAAATGGTGATATCTCGGCCAAATGAAGCCCGATAGAGGGCAGATTGGGAGGGGTTACCCGCGGAGGTCAGTAGAATCGAATGCCATCAACGTTTTTCGATTTCGGAAAAAAATCATTTTTCGAAAAAAACGTGATGGTTACACTGTATTTTCGGTCAATTTGGGTCATCTCTTAGAATGTGGATTTTTGAATGGCAATCGATAGTTGGGGTCCGTACGAGTAGAAAGAGGTATATCACTTCGAAATCGTACTGAATTTAACCGAGTTATTTCCTTTTTAATTTTTTGTTAAAATTGCAGCATGCGTATATTGTGAATGGTTTATTTTTATGATCAGACCAAAAGTATGCTGTAGAAAACTGCAGAAAAACTGCAAATTGATTAAATGTTCTATATTAAATGATCAATATAAATAATAATGGAAACGCATATATCTAACATTGTTTTTTAGTCTACAAATTATACTGATAAAGGTAGAATTTATAATTATTGCTTATTTTATTTTATTGAGGACTTTTTAGTTCATTTACTTAATAAACTTTATCCCGGCTACTTGCAGTGCGTTGCTGAATATAACATATAGACTCGCGAATGGCAATAGAATCTATTAAAATGGTTCCTTCAATCTGAAAAGATAAAAATGTATTAGAACTAAATAAGTAAGACACGAAAGATATCAAACATTAAATGACCATTCTCAGATTAGGTCCGATCTGAGGAAGTTGAGGCATTTCAGATCGAATGGAATTAAGCTCAGAGTCGAACCTTTGAGGAAATGCATGGAATAGTGAAAAAATGGGAAAATGGAGTCCAGGAAGGCTTATAGAATCTATTACAATCATGATGTTTAAGAACCGTTCCAGTTTCATCAACATTGGTCAAAGTTTTAAATATATAATTTTTTTAATGTCAAACAAAAGTCCGCATTCCTGTGAGTCTAAAAAAATATAGTATTCCCAAACCTGGTATTCCTTGGACGGGATATTCTAAGAAATCTTCCCAAAGTTTTTTGTGTAGAATCAATCCAATTGTTGGTAAACATTTTGGTATTTGTTGAAGTAATTCCTAGCCATTTTTTGTCAAATTAGGTTACATTTGTATATTTCAGTTTTAAGAGCCTGCTCAGAAGTCCTGTTATAAAATATAACAAAATGTATATAGCTCGATTTTATCGTTGTAGATGTTTAAAATCTTATTATGAATGTATGTATGTATCTATATGAATGTAAATATGTGGTCTTCCACAAATGTAGACAAAGATTATTTTACTTGTATTTCAGAAAAAGAGCTTAAATATGTTATATGTTGAATTGTGCTCCCACATCTATTTTCACAAACAAATTTCACTTATTTTCAATATAAAATTGCCAACTTTTGCTCTTATTTCACAACTCATCCATCCAACGCTCCCATTTCATGGAAACTGTAAAATTAAATTATATATATATATGTATTTTTTTTTTTAACAAACACAAATTCAACATAATATGTGAAATACTAAATAGCTGAGATGCCAATGTGCAAATTGCTGGGTAAACTTTACATTAACTGAAGGCTCGCAGAAAAACCCCAACTGCAAAGCCGCACACGTAAGCATCGAGTGAAAGGCATGCACGGAGAGAGCATGTAATAAAACAGTACGAAATAAAAATTAAATACCATAAAAAAAATATATATATAAACAAAAATTAAAATAAAAGAACAGGGGCGAATGCTAGTGTGGCAGCAACAGGAATTGCAACAGCAACAAAAAAAAAAAAAAAAAAACAAAAAAGAAGGCAGCCGCATATTACGAAAATGTATTAAATTTTTAGCATGCTCATTAAAAAAATATTAAAATAAAATTTCTATGGTAACACAGACACACACATATACACACACATTTACTAAAAATGCCCACATGTATTGTGAGAAATGAAAATAAAAATGTGAAACCGTCTGCCTGATGGCAATAACATGAGCTGCTTTCCCATTTGTGAGAGTGTGTGTGTGCACGTGTGTGTAAAGGGTATACCGAGACCGCATGAAAATTGGCATCCCACACACACACACACACACACACAGACAGAGATACACAGTAAAACAGTACGCCTGCACATTAAAACAACGCCATGTTCTGGCACCCAAACCCAGCTTCCACGCCCAATTCCCAGCGAGGCGAGACAGCAGCAGCCGGAGAATGAAGGGTGGAGGCGAGGTCAACAACAGGGGCTGAGTCAACGATATGTGAATATCAAGATTTAATTTAAAGTTAACTAAGTAAGATTAAGCTTTAGCATTGCACTCTCACACATACACATATATGGCCATTTGCAGGGTGCAAACCTATGCGTGTGTGTGGGTGTGTGTGTGTGTTTGTGTGTGGGCAGGGCAGAGTCGGAAGGGAACTCTCGTATCAAGTAGAGCAGAAACTCTTAATAAAGCAATTGCCTCTGGCAGTCAAAAAGTAAACGTCGACGTCGTGCAGCAACCTGATTACGACAGGGGTGACGGGTGGTGCGGTAAGCACCTCGGTCCAGGGCCACGACCTCAAGCATACATCTGTCTCTCTGTGTGTGTGTGTGTGTGAGCTTTCATACGAACGACCTTTTTTCGAGACCCATGACATAGCGGCAGTTAGTTCGGCCACTTTATAGAGCCGCTCGCTCGCTGCGCTGCGGATCGCTGGCTGCCTGGCTGGGCGGTAATCTGGGTGGTGTTTTTTGGGTGGGTGAAAGAAAAACCGGATATGTGCAGCTGCAGATGAAACATGCACGAACAGCGCCCAGCAATATCAACTAACTATAATTACATATTGAATGGCATAACCAGAAGAAATTCGAAATTCGCCAAGCGAAGCATAAACAACTATGAACTGAATTTAATTAGCTTTGCGCTGTAGATTACAAAATTACAGTAGAACGAGTATTTGACTTTAATGCACAAAATAGCGTTAGAAGAAAAAATTGAGGGTGAAAAAATAAATTTCCACATACTAAATACATACAAATCCCCAACACGTCTATAACAATTGTTTCTATGAATCATTTATCGATATTCCATAATTTATATGAATTCAAAAATATTTTCAATATTTTCAACATGATTTTTAAAATTATAATAAAATAAAACAATTAAGCTATACACTTTATACTGCTTAAGCAGTATTAAATTATGTACGACAAATTGGATCTCGCTCCACTGTGCGCTCCGGCTAGCAAATCTGTGCAGCAAAAGGCAAATTATATAGCGGCAGCATATTATTTGCAGCACAAGCGACAGCAACTTGGACACATGAAATACAGCTACGATGGCTACAACAACAAGAGCAACAACAACAATAATATTACCAGCTACAACAACAACAACAGCAACAACTTTAAGGGCTATAAGAACTGGCCATGAGGATAAAATAAAAATCCCCTCCACTCGTATTATTATCTCCATACATGAAGATATTCAAAGCGCTGGGGGAAATTTAAAGAGGGAGAGAGAGAGAGAGAGAGAGAGAGAGAGAGAGAGCAAGCAAAAAATAAATTTAATGTAAACATAAAAGCAAGTTTTGGGAGAAGCTAGTTTTGCATTTTATAATCAGCGCAAAACGCGGGGGTTGGCCGCGTCCCACCCTCGATTAGGGTTGACGATGGGCAGAACGGGCCGAACGGGTCGAACGGGGCTGGAAAGGTTGGCGGCATGGTGTCTGATGAAGGGTGTAGGGTGTAGGGTAAAGGGTGACTACTCGACTGCTGTCT